ATGGGACCATGTGTGACGACATAAACACGAGCAAATTGAGTGCTTTTTTTTTTTTTTTCAGCATAAGTTTTAGCGAGAAACATTGTTATTCATACACATAGCAAATTGCTTCATCGTCTCCAAGCCTCCAGTGGCATCCAAGATCTGCGAAGATGCTCTTTGCTTTCATTTTCGTTATCATGTCTGTGGCAGTGTCTGGAAACATCAGTTATGCCATCACAGCCACGCAAGTTCAACAAACGTTGGCCTTGAGCGAGCGCTCGTTGGAAGCCTTCGACCTCGCTAAAACTTCTGAAGCGAGAAGGTTTCTGCGAAGTAGAGAGCTTGACGCCGTGAAGGAAGAGCGTGTCTCTTCTAAAATGGATTTCATCCCAGAATCAGAATTCAGCTCCAAGGTCCTGAAGGCGATCAAGAAGTCAAATAAAGAGCATAACAACGCATTTATGCTATCACGTAAGCCCAAGACTCCTTTGAGCAAATCTAGATTTAAAAGAGAGGTGCTGGTGGATGCCGTCTTCGATAAACTTAACAATTTAAAACTTGATTATCCTAATAGACCGTAATGAGACACAGCTCCATTTTTTCATATATCGAGTGATACTGGATAATTCAAAGGCAGCAACGCTGCTGTTCTCAATTTCATGTGCGCCTATATCACTCGCAAGTTTATAATATCAAACTGCTAGCTTGAGTTCGAGTGATCAGAGTAAGAATTACGACCACTCCACAACATTTTCTTCACCTCTGGGGTTTTGTGCAACTTAAAAAGAATGTGCAATAACCTTCAACATAGTATGTTTCTCCACCCAGGGTCGTGTGGAATGTCACACTTTTGTTTTGCTTTTCTCCATAGTGCAAAGTACGCATTAAGTGTGCCCCCTTCTTTGTTGTGTTTGGAATGTAGAATGAAAAATGAACGGAAATGCTAGTACTAAATGTCGAGGAGCATAATGCAGCTGTGCACAATTCAATAAGGTAGTCAGTCCAGACGACAGGTGGAAGATAAAGGCAATAAAAAAAGGTATTATACCCGAAGAAGACCAAACAGAAGGATACCACAATCGCTAATTCAAGATGACTTTCTAAGATAGTAGCAAGTCATTCTATACTGGTAAGTGGCTATACTATACCTTAGCTGGCAAAATGCTGCATTGTGTGAACACATGTCTTGATGAAGTGATAGTCAGCAATCTTAAGACAAATCCTGGCCTGGCTTCAACTCCTTTCCAAATGTCAGCGTAGTTCGTAAGAGATAGATAAGTATTTCATAGACAACAGATCACTATAAAAGGACATATATCAAATCGTGATCATACAGAATTGCATTCATCGGATGCAGTGACTATATTGTAATTTGGTCCAATCTACATTGAAACCACTAAGGAGTGGCCATCAGTGAAGAAGAAAAAAGTGTATTTTTTGTATTTTACAGTTTAAGCAAGGCCTTGCCAGCGGTGTAAGAACTATAATTTTTATCCTTATTGTCCATAGATTCATGCCATAGTAGGAGACTTCT